CCCTCCCCCCCGAGCGGGGGGCGGGGCCCGGCCCCCCCCTCCCGCCACTCCTTATCAGGGCTCTCTTGTTGTTGTAACCCGGCCTGCCGTGCTGGGGGGCGTGGCGGGGGAGGAGAAGGCACGGGGAGGGTGGGTTGAGCAAACCGCTCTGTTGCATCAGCTGGCGGGGCGCCAGGCCTGCTGCAGGAAACAAATCCAACCTTTCTCCAGCCCCTATTGGTTCCTCCCCAAAGCCCGGAGAGGCGGGACGATCCCCTCCCGAGAGCTGTTAAGGACCACAAACAGTGCTGACAGAGCGAGGGAAATGAGAGAGGCCCTGCAGGGCATCGGCTGCTTGTTGCCCGGAGGCACTGGGACTGCAGGGAGGAGAGCAGGGCCACACGCTTGCTCCGGGGCGCACCGTGGCCTGGCTCTGCTCTCGGACTGTGCCTGCCTATTCCCAGTCTTGGTTGCGCTGCACTACGAACCTCGGCTCGGAGGAGGCCCGTTGGGGTAGGTGCGCAAACCTCCCAAGAGACTCGGCGCCCCGGGGAGCTTGCAGCGAAAGGGTGTTCGTTCCTCCCGGCTCCTAGGGCCTTTCCCTGGCGCTGCCGGGGCTTGATTCGGCAGCACGCCACCGCTTACCCTCTTGTATGGGTGTGGGATCCCAGCCTGCTGGGGGCCTGTGTGATCTGGAGAGGGTACCCTGCTCCTGGAGCTGCCGGTGCCGCTGTGCGAGCGGGGTGGGATTGTCCTGCGCGGAGCATTGTTCTCCGTGCTCGGGACAGAAAAGCCCCAAAGCGAAGTTCATTGTTCCCTGGAGCCCAGACGTCCTCAGTGAGGCCCCTGCCGGCCGTGGGGCTGCTGGAGGGTTAGGGGCAGCCGGGGTGTGGAAATGACACTGATGTGCTCCTGGAGCTGCCGGTGCCGCTGTGCGAGCGGGGTGGGATTGTCCTGCGCGGAGCATTGTTCTCCGTGCTCGGGACAGAAAAGCCCCAAAGCGAAGTTCATTGTTCCCTGGAGCCCAGACGTCCTCAGTGAGGCCCCTGCCGGCCGTGGGGCTGCTGGAGGGTTAGGGGCAGCCGGGGTGTGGAAATGACACTGATGGGACAGGCCTGGACGATTGGCTGGGGTGGTTGTGGTGGTTGAACCACAGTGGGGGGGGGCCCC